CMWCTAGGGGGCACAACAAATGGAGGGTGAAATAAAATAAATCTCACCAAAACGGCTTGGGCTTGCCCTGCCTCAGTGGAAGGGGTTTTCCAGGAGCTCGGCGCAGTGTKTCTCTGCAGCAATAAAAGGTGTGTGTGAACAGGAACATCGAACAACCACGTGACCGCGCGTCGACTGTTCGGCTTTGGATCAAGTATACTGGACTCTCAAGTCAAGCCTTTACCTCCTGTTCTGGGACTGATGTCACTGCTAGAACATAACTTCAAATGTGTCTAGAATGTTTTAACAATAACTCATCACTCTGATTGGTGTCAGAACTGCTAATTTACACATTTGGATGTGACCAGTCAGCCAATACAGGCCTGTGAGTGACCCATATAGATTAGATTACATGGTGTATGTCCAACAAAATGAAAAGTAACTTTGACAAAACAGAACAAAAGTGCCATAATTTAGGGATTGCATCAGCAAAGCAGCTCTTTTTATCCTGTTTAAAACACTTTAACTGGATTTAGCTGCACATGCAACATAGGCACAAAAAGCCAGTATTATATAAAAGGAAAAAGCGTGGTTGCCGGTAAAGTGGCAGGTTGGTGCCTGTACCAATCTTCATACCAGCAGGCTGCATATAGCTTTATTTTTTATTAACACAGATGTGGTTCTTTGGAGAGTGGAATGTTAGATATCAATCTGCAGACGTGCTTTAAGGTTTCTATATCTCTGTACAAGTGTTACCTAAAAGGTGGTCAAATTTCAAAGGATTCAGAAGCAAACAAACAGAACCAAGAAAGGGTTTGTTGTTTTTTTATTTAAAAGTGTTCCTTCAGGGTAAAACCAWAGTTAGATGTTTTTAATTATGTCTGAGTGGCTGCCTTTTTTATTTTGAAAAAAATAATTAACGATTCATCAAAGTTTGATCTCGACAGCTTGTTTCTGGRAGCGTTTTATGACATGAGAGCATCTGAAGGCTAATTGATGCTCATCTGGCTGGAACAAGGTCACTCCAGGTTTCATTATTCAGTCAGACAAATTGAGTACAAATAAAAAAACATGATTAGAAGCTGTGTGCATGTTTACAAAAATACTAACCCTAACCTTTGCTAAAAAAAAATAAATGAATGATTTTCTTTGTATTTGACAGAAACTAAACAACAATCCAGCCTCTGAAGTTACAGATTCCTTACTTTATCATATAATAGACGTTAATGATAATTATAATTTTAGTGCTGATTGTTTTCTTTCTTCGTCTCATGCATGGACACACCGCCTGAACCTGGATCCTGGTATGTTCCTTCAGGCTGTATCTGAGTGCAGCTGTGCCTTTTCACCCTCTGAACTCTGAATAATCTCTGCACATGTGAGTGACTTTATTTTTGATTTCCTCTGTGAGCATCTGAGTCAAGCTTTAGGAGGACAAAGCACAGAAAATCAGACTCTTTGGTTTTTTCCCTCTTGATCTCTGACAACATTCTCCTTAAAACTCAGCTTTTTTTACAATCATCTTTATGTTTCTTCTACTTATTTGAACTGTTTGTTTTAAAGATTCCACTATAGTCTCATCTTGGTTTGGACATGTGCAGTTCAGGGACAGTAAAGTGATACTTGAGTAAAAGTACAAGTATCTTATCATAAAAATACTTTGGTTAAAAAAAGTCTTCTCTAAAATATTACTTGAGTAAAAAACTTAAAAGTATCTGATATTTTTTGTACTTAAGTATCAAAAGTAAAATTCTGACACAAAATCTACTTACCGGTAAGTATTAAAAGTAAAAGTACTGAGTAAAAGTGAGCAGTTAGATTTTCCAAAATGACATGTATTGGGAGGTGACTTACCCAAAAAATATTTTTTTCTAACTGTGTGCAGCTGTGATGGGTTGTGTACAAGCTAATAGGGTGTCAAAATGGTATATATTTATACTTCTCATCCAAACACAATTAAATTCACTCTATACAGGAGACACAATTTATAGTTTTTTTAAGTAATAACAACTCCAAATAAAATAGGAGTAAGGACTTTCTACTTCTTACATTTTTAAAAAAAGGTAGTGACAGATAATTGTGTAAAAATGTAATGAGTAAAAGTAAAAAGTACGTTGAAAAATATGTACTCAAGTAAAGTACAGATAACCAAAATTTCTACTTAAGTACAGCAACAACAAAGTATTTGTACTTTGTTACTTTCCAACTCTGCTTAGGGACAGAAGGATGTTAGAGATGCAGCTGCAGGAAAAGGACAGTGAGGAGAAATATGGATGCAGCTGGAGAGGACATAGAGGAAGATGGTAAGTGCATGGAGGAAGATGAAGTGAGGACATGGAGGAAGATGAAGTGAGGACATGGAGGAAGATGAAGTGAGGACATGGAGGAAGATGAAGTGAGGACATGGAGGAAGATGCAGTGAGGACATGGAGGAAGATGAAGTGAGGACATGGAGGAAGATGAAGTGAGGACATGGAGGAAGATGGTATGGACATGGAGGAAGATGAAGTGAGGACATGGAGGAAGATGAAGTGAGGACATGGAGGAAGATGGTATGGACA